ATATATATATATATATATATATATATATATATATATATATATATAGGGGGTGGTTTACGGATGGAAATTGGGTCATAACTTGGGTTTACGGTCCACAATTGGGCTTGAAATGGTTATTAGCCCATTAAGGGTGTGTTTAAGGATTTTTCCATCCGTAAACTCCTTTGTGAATTAAAATACCAACAGTGAACACCTTGGATCTAATTTCAAATCCGTCAAACCTCTTGATTGTGCATAGTTGGATTGTGAACACTCTATTGAAGTGGATTAATGGGCGTGAACTCATTTCCCCTAAATAGTCTAGGTCGTGAACATCTTTAAGGATTAAATCCTTGGCCGTAAACCCCTATATGTGGTGTTATTTATGTTTTAAACCTTGTTCTTTGGCCAAATATTGTATTATGCTATCCTAATTTAGCTTAGGTTTCAATCCATGCTTCTTTGTTAGCTCTATAAATAAGCCCTAAGGCTATAGAGGGTGCAATGCAACAAGGATTGCAATGTAGTTTACACTAGTACTTGGTTAAGGTTTAGACCGTGCTAGGTCTAAAATTCGGAGTTGTGACATTTGGTGTTTCAGTGTGCGCTTGAAATCTTTCCAAGATGAGGGGGGGGGGGATTTATTAGAGACAGAAATGGATTCATCCATTTACATTCTTAGACGTGTAGGCCCTCTTCGATCGTGATTATATCACTTTCTGAAATATGTGATTCTTCCGTTATAGCTTGGGGTTACACGAATTTAGAAGTGGGATAATACCAGCAAATCTGATTTGGATTATAGGCCTAATCCAATATCATAAACTCAAAATACCTTGTGGTGTTTATTGTTCTTAAGATATAGAAGGTAGATAATAATTAATTTTGTATACGTAAATGATCAACCCTTTTTCTGGAACAGTTACTTTGAATTTATACAAGGAAAGAAAAAGTGGTTAAATGTGAGTTACACCAAATTGGTGCCAAAAAGGGGGTAGTTTTCGGACACAACCAATGCCTACATCACCATGATGTCATCAGTAGGTTTTGGCGGGAAAATGTGTTGCCCCTTGACCCCGTCCGATGAGTGGTCAAAGGAACCACCGACAGGGGCTTTGCCCCTTGGACCCCGCGAGGGGTGCTTCCCCTAGACCCCGCAAGGAGTGTTCCCCTTTGAACCATGTACTAAGGGTACTGCCCCCAGACCGCCATATATCCGATTTCACATATAACACTTAGGGTGTGAACCTCCCACCTCCAATCTCAGATAGTAAACATAACCCCACATGTCTCGAAAACAATAATAATTATACTAAAATATGGTGATAACGCTAAAATTACCAACATAAGATACATAAGAATTACAGAAGCAACAATCACTACATAATCATTTTCCAAGTACTCTTCTTGTGTGGGTGTATAAACATTATACCGCCATGATTCTACTAAGTACGCATTGTAGAAATCTGCGCACTATCATGTTAACATTGGTCATAATACAAATTAGATGCATAATCAATCCAAAAGAAATAGAATATTATTTAGTTAAAGAATATGGACTCATTACTGCTTTGTCTAGGTAAGGAAAGATTAGGAAGGAAGGAAGGTTCAAGAATATGGTTTTCATTGATGTGTATATAATATTTTAAAGTTAGCTTTTATAAGAATTGTATAATAGTTGGTTGATATAAATAAATATTTAAAAAGATTACAAAAATGTTAAAAAAATAGGATTTTGGTAAATATAAAATTTTGAAAACTTATAAAGTGTATATATATATATATATGATATTTTAAAATTAGGTCGGACAAATATGATATTTTCTTGTTTATTTAGAATATATATGAAATTCTCCCAAAACGGGTTTAGACGACGATATATTGTTGAATAACATCTAAAGATAAAATGAGACTGCATAGATAGTGCTATCATTTATCAAGCATTGTCGAGTGTGTGCCATCTCATCGTGGGCACTAAAACTATTATTAGGAGTCCAAGATAAAGATGGAGACCACAACAATGTCGTCGTTGTTGTTTTGATGATGAAATGTCAAAGATTCTAATATTAGGAAAAGATGAATACATTACATACCAAAAGATAAGCCAATTACATAAAATGGTCACCAATATTAACATTTAGTGAGTTATGTGACATTATGCTATAGTTATGTTAAAGAGAAATAACTAATTAATTTTTAATGATCAGAGTATGTAATTCTTAACTCGTTTCACTGAGGTAGTTCGCCAAATTTTTTTTACTCGTACAGATATAAAAATTTATTTACATGAAGGTCCTAACAAAACTAGAATTGGTCCAGTAGTCCTTACAATCATGTGTGGGTCTAGATTGTGACAATGAACGATTCGACTGGGTTTACATGGTTTGTAGGTAACCCCACTTTCCTCTCCCTAGTCTTTCCTATATTTTTGGTTTGAGTTTTGAATGTGTCAAGTTCTACATCCGTACAATATATGTCAAAATTGATTTGCAAAACAGGAATCTCTATATATATTAAAAGAGAAACTTGATGACATCACCTTCAACAATCAGGACCATTCATTGTGTTTTCTTGATTAATTTCAACCCTTGGATCATTCTGGATCATATGATGATGTCATCCTAAAAAACAATTCACAACATGCATATGCATTTTTTCTTTACTACTACAAACTCCATCCAGCTGGCTTATAATTTCATCTCGATTTCAAATTATCTTCCCCTGAGAAATCGAGGGTTGTTCCCGGATTGCAAAATCTTGGAAACAATTTCAAATTTCTATCATCATCGTCTGAGAGCGAATCTTCGCCTGAGAAATCAAGGGTCGTTCCCGGATTGCAAAATCTTGGAAGCAATTGCTTCTTCAACGTAGTTCTGTAGGTATCATAATCTATATGACTTATCAATTATACAATTCGAATAAACATAGTTTCTTCCACGACTTTGATTCCAGGATGCATTACTTTGTTGGAACTTGAATATTTTTAGGTTTTGGCTAACTGTTCTTCTTTTTTGAGTCCCCTAATTTTATTTTTTGATTACTGATTAGGCACCATTAATGAGAAGATTTGTTTCCAATTCATCATATACATCGTGTTGTATGCATTACTTATAAAATTCACCATGAAAATTTGACAAACTTTCATTCCATTTGAGACTTGAATGATTGGGTTGATTTGGTTGTTGAAGAAAAGACAAAGAAATGTAAAGGAAAGTGTGTTTTCACATCATTATTTGGAGTTGGAGCTCCTGAAGCTTTAGTTAAAAAGAAATGTCGCTATGTTGGTTTTTGGGCATAAAGTCCTTGCCGAGTTGACTATATATCCCCAAAACAAAATTTTGTAATCTTCTTCTTTTTTGTTATCTCTTTTAGGATGTTATTTTTTGTCAATCTTGACATTATACCACCTAAATTGTAGGTTTCTAAAACTTTGGGAAAAAATTTGTGTTCATTTCAACCCACAATCAGGGAACTACAAGTAATTCTTGTTTGAATGTGTGGTTTCAAAGTGATTATTTATCTCAACTTGAAGAATAAGAATAAGATACTGACTGAATGTTTGAAACACACGATTCACTTCAAAATAGGATGTTTCATTGTGAATTAAAGAGCATCCTTCAAAAGGAAATTGGCCTTAATGAGCTTAAAAATAATATACAAGGAAACTACACTTCTGCAACACCGCCTGCCATCACCACCATCACTGATGATTACTCTCTGTAACTATAACCATCCCATATGATCCTCAGGCAACAGTGACAATCACCCCTAAAGTTATCCTGGAAGATTCTGGAGACATAACAGACACTCCAACTATCACCATGGAGTAGGATGACAATTTGAAAATAACCATGCAACAAATTGAAGATGTGGTTATGTGATATGGAAGTAGTGGCTGGAATTAGGTATTCTATTGGGCCTATTTATTTCTGTTTATTTCTTGCAACTATGAAATATCCCATGACAGATATAACATGATTTATGTGTTTCACATGCATTAAATAATATCCTACTTTCTTTTACTTTACTATGCATGGTGCTATATATAATAGGATTGGGGTATAATGGTCAAATTAAGTGTGTTCCTTTACAAAATCACTTTATATAATTATATTTTATAGAATTGGAGCTCCTGTGAAATGAATATGTATTTATTTTATGCCTTTCAATAAGTATGATTTTATATTATTATATAAACATTGTTTTTTTTCAATAGTTGAGCATTTGTAAAAACATGGACCATTTCTTGAATTATATTTTTCAAAGGGACCATGTTAGCATGCTACTTTCATTTATACACATGATAGCATCCTACTTTTTTTTATCTTTTATTCAATATTAAATGGATGGATTTTATAAACAAAATTAATCCAGAAAAGGGTAAAACTGTATTTTGTTCACATTTCTTTTAAAAACACTTGGCAAATCCTCCCTTTTTCTTGTTTTTTTATTAATATATAATTAAATTAATTTAATATTGACTAAATTTGAAAGCTTGACTAATTGATTTAATGTTAACGTCATTTATAAAATGAATGTATTCAACTCATTTAAACCTCATCATATTTTTTGAAAGTAAATTGTGTTCCTTCCTAATTAAAAGCACGTTCTTCGCACTCACCTTTCTTATATTCTTTTAAAGAATCAATAATTCAAAATTTGATATCATTTCCATAATCATTGTTGAAAGTGTTGTATAAATCATGTGTTGTTTTTCGTCCATTATGTTTTATTCAGACCATTTGCAGCATCACGTTCGAACAACATCACCCTTTGCAGCATCACATTCGTCATCCAGGTTCCTTCTTTAATATATTGTTCTTAATTTCTATTAATTGTAAAACCACTTTCAATTGTCCTTCAATTTGATTTGACAATTTTTCTTCAAAGTGATTTGACCATTTGACAAAATAAAATCCTACTTTCAGTTTGTTCTTAAAAGTGATTTGACCATTATGACTTTATAGCAGTGTACTTCTGAATCATAAATACAATTATATTATGTTTTTGAAGAAGGCGGAATGGCACATAATAGTGGCGATGAAATCGTCTTTGATAGTCTTGCTGACATTGATGCGTCGAAGGAAACATGGAATATTCGTGTTCAGGTAATCATGCATTGGAAGCAGACTTACAAAAACAACCCAAACATGGTGAGCAGCTTTGATTTTAATGGACCAGCAGGTAAGAATTTTACTAAATAAAAATAAACTAATATTTTAATTTATTATTTTCAATAAAACAACATGGGTATGAGCTACAGGGCACTAAAATGCAGGCAACAATAAAAAATTCTCATAAATGTATTTCAAGCTTTGTTCGATGAAGGAGATGTCAGTGAAATCACTAAATTTGGTATGGTGTAACAACCGAATATTTCGGGTCAATAAAGTCAAAACAAGTCAAACCAAAGTCAATTATGCCAACAAAAGTCAAATAATTAAAATTTAAGTCATGAAAATTCACTTTACTTTGGAGCTTTTCGATCATGGGAATCAAAAATCACATGCTAACCGAGAACCCTTGATCCGAGAACCCTTGACCGAGACCATGCTAGACCGAAGACCTTGGTTCTCGACTGGAGCTTGGACCGAAGACTTCGAGTTCTCGGTTGGAGCTTGAACCGATAACATGGGGATTTCAGTGGTAATTAGGCCGAAATCTCAATTTAGATAGGGTGGCACTTTTACCAATGTGATAAATTACACATTCCAATGCAAACATCACATCACTTTTACACTATATATATATATATATATATATATATATATATATATATATAATATATATATATATATATATATATACTAATAAAAGAGTAGTTTTAATCTCTTTTTGCCATGTGTCACTCTAATACAACTCCACATTAATATTATCTCATGTGTCAAGGAGATATATTAGGCAAATCACTATCACAAATAATGACGTTAAGGTTTTAAATAATTGATTCTAAACTTTTTATAGAAACATTTACTTTTTTAATTATATGTTAAATTTGAAGTTATAACTAACTTTAAAATTGGTAAGTCTCTTAATTAATAGGTTATTTAAAATTACTTATGTAAAATAATTGATTAGTAATTATGAATTTTTGCTATGAAAATTGAATTAATTTTGTAACTGTGGTTCCTACGGGTTATAAACTAGTATATATATATATATATATATATATATATATATATATATATATATATATATATATATATATATATATATATATATATAGGACCGAAAATACAATTCACAATTCTCATTTACACTTCAAAAACCCTCCCCATTTTCTCTAAAAAACGAGTGCAGTATCTTCAAATCTTCATACATCTTCCAGAACATTATCAAACCTTCATACAGTTTCCTAGAACATCTTCAAACTTCCCAGGAAAAACAAATCCTTCAATTAATTCTTTGGCATTTTTGGTAAGTTTCCTTAATTTATCTAGTGTTTTTACAACACTTATATGTTAAGTTCAACTAATTTACGCACATTATTATGTGTTAAATACTCGTAGGATACAAACACGTTCACATATTATAACTTGAAGATCATCATTTTTACCTCGTTATCCAACCAAGAGTACACTCAAGGTGATTTCATACCCCTACAGTTTTCACGATTTTTCTATGTTTTATGGGGGGGGGGGGAATACAAGTAAAACACAAGAAAACTTGTGATAATATACAAACTGTTACATTTGTATTTTCACTATACATTATATATAATATATATATATATATATATATATATATATATATATATATATGGGTACAAATTTAATTACAATAAAACTTTTACCCTTTTGTAACATGTTGAGCAAAAATGGTATAATTATATAAACATGCATATATAATTATTTCATTTCATTTTATTATCATGGTAAATTGATAATAGCATATAAAGGATTCATTATTTCAACTATATTAGGTATAGTTTATGGGGCATTCACACTATTTTACCATTTTTGGGACAATAAAAATAATTATTTAAATGTATAATTATTTTACGCACTGTAAACACTATGAAAGGGTAATACATACAATTACAAGAAAAAAGTTTTCATTACATTAGACGTAAACCAGTTAATACAGTTTTTGTGAGACATCCTACACCGTACTTACCAGAGTACACACTAAAGCCCTGTATTATAACCAGAGTCTCTTGTAGGGAGAGCATGACACTTGTGTATAGATCTATACGGGACTGAAAATCTCACACCTTAACTGTTAGCTACAGTTAGACCGGCAGGTCTGGGGTGACAAATGTCGTACCATTCCGACGCCTGAAGAACGTCGTAGCAGGCATAACATTCATTAGTATGGTTATGATAACTCACAAGGGGTATTAACTAATACATTTGGTTTACGAGGCTAACTTACATTCAATCAGTTTTATTGAATAATAAAACTACATTACACTACTTTACAGGCAAACTGGTAGTTCCAGGAACATACATTTAAGGGGTATTAACAATATGTTTGGTTTACAAATACATACATACCTTCAAATGATTTTATTTAGATAAAACTACATTACACTATTTTCCAGTACAATACAGTTTACATTTCTGGAAACATGCACTCAAATGGTTTTATATACGAATAAAAATACATATTACTATTTTAAGTATGGAAAATACTTGTACATTTCAGTCTTGGAACGTTTAAGACTACAACTCATTTCTAAAGAAAATATTGGATTTTATGGAAGAACACATTATCATTTTCAAGGAACAAAGACATATCTCTCTCATACAAAATGCTTATGAACTCACCAACTTAAATGTTGACACTTTTTCAAAACCACTTGTATTCTCAGGTAATCAGTAGACAGGTACCCACACATGTTTTGTGAAGATGAAGCATAGCAGTGTCTCATATTATATTTTTGACATGTTTTTGGAGTCAAACAAACAATGATTCAAATACAATGTAAAAACTTAGAAATTATCAATATAATGTTTGTAATGCTTTGATCTCTATTATTCAATCGTTATGATACTGTACATGAAAGTTATCCACCCCCAGACGTTTCCACCGTTTTACTCGGTTTGGGGGTGTGACATATGGCTAGAAACGAAGAAGATTACATGTTGGTTGGTCACATGCATAAGATAAATTTCTACAAAACGACATTTTGTGTATCAACTCCTTTTCTTGATAGCATCGATCCTTTTAATTTTGTGACTTTCCACAATTTAACTGCCAGAAATTTTAACACTCGTGTTGCATTGGGTAAGTTTTTTATCTTAACATCTTCACATGTATATATATTATATATTACTTTTAGAACCAATTTTTAATATAATAATAATAATATATTTCCTTACATATTACATTTTGTAGATTTTATTGGTCAAGTTGTTTCTACTGATCCCATGAGAGTGATCATGGACAAAGAAAGTGAAAAAAAGTTAATGAATATGGTTGCTCAAGATCTAATGTACTTTTCAACTCTCCTTTTATTATTTATTTACCATGTTTAATATTTATCTCCATATAACCCAACCATTCATTTATAGTGGTAGGAAAATTCAAAATGATAACACCCTCATTATCATCCTCCTTCGTATGACATAGCTCAAGACTTGGGGTGGTAAGAATATTTTTTATTTTAGATGTTCATGTCGAGATTGCATGTCAATGATGATACGCCTCTCCTTTTAGAATTCAAAAAAGTGTATCTCTTCTATCAATAAATAATAGCTTAATATCTTGTATTTCATTATTCTTAATCATTAGTTATTTATATTGTTTAATTTGTTTTTTTTGTTCTTATATGTAGTATTGCTGATATGGATTTGAATGTTAAGTCATCCATTAATACTTCACAACTTAATACCGATACAGTTGTGGCCAAGGAAGAATATTACTACCTCCGTTTTCCAATCAAAAACATTGATGATATTCCATATTACAATGAGGTATACTTAAGAGTATTAATATTTTTCCATTAATTTTTAAAATTTATTTCGCATAACACAACGAATATATATATATATATATATATATATATATATATATATATATATATATATATATATATATATATATATATATATATATATATATATATATATATATATATATGTATAAGATATTATTTTTTATATATTCTTTTTAAAATTTTTGAACTAGGAAATAGGTTTGCCAATCATTGCTACTGTCATCGGTTTTGATTTAGACGAAGGTTGGTATTCATTTTATTGTCGTGACTGTTAAAAAAAAGTAAGAATGATGATGATAATAATGTTGAACCATTTACTTATGATGGTTGCGGTGGAGTTTCTGATGTTTACGAAAAGTAAGTTCATAATTTTACTTCTGTAAACTTACTGTGACATTAATATTTATTAGATTGTTTCCATGTTTATTTTAGTGTCCATTAAAATGTTATTTTATAATTTTTAGAGTGAGAGTCGTAATTCGTGTTGAAGATGAAACTGGGTCTTCATCTTTTGTATCGTTAGACCGTCATGTTAAAGATGTTATTAACCGCGATAATCAGTGGTTGATGGAAAAGATATCAAAGGTAGTATTAATTTTTTTTTTTCTATATTTTCAATATTGGAAACATTAACTATCTATTTTTACGTACTTAGTGATTATTTCTTTTAGTTTGTAAACATGGAAAGTTAAATGTATATTGTTATTGGATTTTATTTTTATTGGGTTGTATTAACTGTTCAAATGTTTTATTATATTTTTCTTTAGGATGAAGGATGTCAAAATATCCCTGATGAGTTCAATAGCTTTCTAAATAGAAAGCTTGTTTTTAAAGTTCAGATTTCAAAGTTTAACCTTCATAACAATTATCTCGCCCACAATGTTCATTAGATGAGTGATGATGAAGGGGTAGTTGGTGCCGTTTTTAAAGGTTCACATGCATATGAACAAGACAGTATTAATTCTGATGGTACTCCTATTAATAAGTGTTTTAAGGTAAAATGTCACTACATATAAGTTTGAGTTTAAACATTGATAACAAAAATATTTTGTTAGCATTTTGTTATATTAATTTTTTATAGGATAAGAGTGTTTCGATTGATGTTGACAATATTGATGTTGTTGATCTTGATGCAGTCACACCAACAACTACTTCCATCAAGCAGCCTATTGAGATTGTTACCACCACCGAATCTTTTGAATGGTCTTCTTCTAAAGATGGTGTTGTTGCTCCTATCTTGAAGATCCCAAAAATGGAAAAGATGGAATAAGTTTAACCCATTCATCATTATTTGACATTTTACTTTCAAGACTTTTGTTGAGAGTTTGAATTTGTTTACTTATGGATTTGTTTGACAAGTAATTTGTTTTGGTTTTCAATTTTATGTTTGTTTTCATTTGGTTTAAACGCGACAATATTCATGTTGTTTTAGACAATTTTATACTTATAATGACTTATTCACATGACTGTAAAGTGTTACATGTTTTGCTTCTTACAAAGTGGATACAAAGTCGATTGTAGTTTATGTTTTGTTTTTAATAGATGTAGTTAATATCAATATACTTTGACTTTAATCTTTAATGTTTTGAATTTTTGCATTTCTACTTTTTTATTTACATGGATCATATATGTAATTATTATGATTACAATGTTATTAACAGGACCAAGGACCATTTTTTTTTAAATTTTAATTTACCTGACCATTTGTTTAAAGAATAATGTTATTATGTGTTTGTTTGTGTTTTTTGTTAGTCATTTGATTTGATAAATTACCATTTTTAAATAATTTAGTTTACATGGACCATTTTTGTAATTGTTATATAATAGTTTAAAGGGACCATTTTAAACCATGATGACATTTGACATAATAGTGTACTTTTGAATCATAAATGCAATTATATTGTTTTTTTTTTGTAGAAAGTTGAATGACACATAACAGTGGCAATGAAATCATCTTTGATAGTATTGTTGACATTGATGCGTCGAAGGAAACATAGAATATTAGTGTTCAAGTACACATGCTTTGGAAGCATACTTACAAAAACAACCCAAACATGGTGAGCAGCTTGGGTATGATTTTAATGGACCAACATGTAAGAACTTTACTAAATTAAAACAAACTAATATTTTAATTTATTATTTTCATTTTCATTTCCAGGCCAGCCTTAATTTGGTAACTGTTTGTTTGGATCGATATTGCATATCAATGATGATATGCCTCACATTTCAGAATTAAAAAGAAAAGTATGTTTTCTATCGGTAAATAATAGCTTAATGTTTTGTATTTTCGTCATCCCTTGTACGAGGAATGTTATAGGTGCTTCAAAAACTCTATTTGCTAGAGGTGTTGGCGAAACTGTTATTTCCATATGTTAGTCAAATGCACATTCGCTTACTTTTGATTTATTATCATATCACATTAGATAAACCTCATAATTATAGATGCACCCATTAAAAGTAATAAGATATAAGTTTTGCTTAGACTGTTATATTGATTACTTAAAATTAATATATACTTTTATTTTAATATATGATATATGTTATGTATGTTAGGACATTTAATATAACTATACCCTATAGAACATAATATAATCTTAGGATCCATTTATAGGTTAAAATTTGTGCAATACACATGTTGACAGCATAAATGAGCAAAAATAACTACGCACTTGTAAAGGATGTTGCTGTAAATGACAAAAATGGTTTATGTTACTATTTTTTGTTAATAATTTTTTTTAAGTTTCTAGAACTTAATAAAATTATATATTTCAGGACATAAAGGACTAATGAAAGCAATCAATCTGTAACATTTAAACAAATATCAATCGTCGCCAGCAATCTAAATTTAGAGGTTAATGGCTTAAATGCATAAATAAATTGCCACAACTACCAATCCCAGTTGTCACCCTATAAAACATGTTTCCACTCATTCGATAAACACACACACACACATACACAACCATCTAGTCCTAAAACACTCCCACCATGAAAAACAAATAATTCGAATTTATGTTCTACAAATTGATCATCCACTTCCGCAAAGTCATTGAAATCATTCAAGCACCGCAAAAGCAAGATTGATTAGGGCACATGAATGATGTTCGAACTTGACTCCACCCTGGAACGTCGTCCACACTACCACAACTTCGTCATTGCATAGAATACCCTTGCAGAGGGGATTTCTCAAGGCCTATCTGTCGGGAACAACCTATCTTCCATTCTCGACATCTACCAGAAAAGGATCAAGCACTACAAGGACCCGATAAAGAACCTCCCTGCGGACTACCCATAAGTCCTATTCATCAGCACCCTTAGTGAATCTACTTTTCCTTCTTTTTCGTATGTAAATCTTCTGTAGCTTTAAAGTCCATGCAATGGGCTATCTTTTGGATGTATGCAGTCTAACACTAGAAATGTATTTTGGATGTTGAAATGAAGTTGAATGAATGGTAATATTAATTCAAGTATATGTTTTTTCTATTTAAATATTGTGATTTTAGATATTTGATTTGATTAGGTTGTTATTTTACAATTATATCACTGATAAGCTTTTTCAGCTTATTTTAACTTCTGAACAATATCAATGTACTTTTTGACCGATGTTAATCTAACTAACACCGAATGATTAGAATCATAATCCAAATTTAACTTTTGGATGTATGCATTCTACACTGCAACTGTCTTTTGGATGTACAAATGAAGTATAATGAAATGTAATATTAAGTTAATTTTATATGTTATCTTTTCAAAGAATGGTTTTTTAGTCATTAAATTTGATTAGTTTGATAAATTTACCATTATATCCCTCAAATCACAAAGATCTAACAAAGAACTTGCAAAATTGTATCTAACAAAATTTCATAAATTTAAAAGGTTATGGTATAATATAAATATCAGCTTGCAAGATATAGCAGCCATATTCTCATTTTCCAAACCAAAGTGACTTATTTTATTGTTCATATTTCTTAAAGTTGACAAGTTATTTTTTTAACACTTTAACTTGGATTTTTGTTCCTTAAGAGAAAAATAATATAATGTTAGTAAAAAAAAAAGATAATATATATAGCGATAATAATAAAGGAATAGAGATCAAAATGATCAATTAACCATAAACTTGGGAAATAAGTTTCTGATTAAAATGAGTTATACATGGAAATAATTTAAATATAACCAAATTACCTGGATTTGGTACATCGAATTAATTATAAATAACATTTTCCATCTAATAATCCGTAATCAACTTAAATGCATAACCTACCAACTAATAATTCGTATCTTTTGAACCTTTCATATTATTTGCATATGATTTACTACAGAAATCCAACATATATACCGACATAAGATAACCCACCCTTCTCACTTCCGTGATTCAACTTCGTTATGTTCTTCTTCCTGTTTCTATTCATCTGTTAATCACATGATTAGATTTTTGTTTGAGTTATTATTTTCTTTTTTGGAGTTTTATTAGTATTTACAACATAATCTCTTGTAAAATCTTGATTTGGATTTAGTAAAAGACAAGTAACAGATGAATAATTACCGTAAAATTACTTTTTCTATAATACCATCATATTTTTATGTGCTAATGTAATATTAGTCGGTTGATTACCATTGTAAACTTGATGTTTTTTTGTTCAGAACTAAGAAAGAATCAGAAAACCTCAAAGTATTCTTTCAGGTTTTTACCATTTTACCCTCGATTTAGCTAAAACCAAATAGCCCCTTCATAATGCAAGTTTATGGTTTTGGTTATGCTACAAAACAGTAACGGAGTAACAATGGATAATTGGTAAAATACATAACACTGTTGTATAATTTTCAATCTTATGCTTTATAACTGTAAAGTACAAATGTAATTCAAATTGACTAATAAAGAAGTAATTTTTATACATTATCAACTGAGAAAATATTAAAACAATTAAACAGATGGTCGAAATAATGGTTTAATCGTAGTTCATCTTACTTCTTACAGAATCCAATGTATATGACCTTGAACAATGGAAGAACCAAATCAAAAGCCGCCCCATGCACACCATTGTCGGACATCACAAACGACAAACTTCTAATTTAAGTATTATCATTATATAATTCTATCGTATTAATTTTATTTATATATTCTTCCAACTTTATCATAATCAATTTTTTTTAAGAAAATAACTTCGACATACCATCTAATTGTCCAGTTACTCGAAAATGTACGAAATTACCTTTAAAGTCATCATCTCATAATGTCATACACCCGAATGTGCAACCTACAACAATTTCATCAAGGTCGTCACTTTCACAAATAACAAATCAAGGTAAAAATTTTAATAATTACTTTTATATTATTTTCACACCGCCATTGAAAATCATATAACGACTATTATAATTTCCAAATTTTTTAATTGTTATGGTAACTAATTAACAGTTGTAAACGGTTCTTGTATGTCACCCACTTCAAATTACCGAACAAATCAAAATGCCACAAGTTTCAAGGTTGTTAGGACGCGTCACAACTTTGGTAATAGTTTTCCTATTCTTATATTACTATTTATTATATTTTTTTCTTTTATTGATGATAAATTTACTTTCAATATATGTACTTTAATATTAAATATTGATATTTTGCTTGTATTTTACAATACAATTTTTTTTCTAGAAAATAATTTCTTTATACTGCCTAATTGTCGAGTTACTCGGAAAATTACCGAATCACTTTCAACATCATCCTCTCATAACCTTATAGACCCGAATGTGCAACATTCATTTATTTCATCAAGGTCGTAACTCTCACAAATCACCGGTCAGGGTAAGTATTTCATAATTACTTTTATATTAAGTTTAACTCCACAATGTAAATCATCTTAAAACATTTATAATTTCAAGTTATTAACTTTTAAAACAACCAATGACTAGTTGTGAAGGTTGAAGTACGTTCCAACTTCAAATGACCAAATTCAACAACTTTAAATGTATGCAAGACTCATCTGAACTATGGTCATAGATTTCATATTCTTTCATTATTAATTACTGCATATTATTTTTTATTTGATCATACAATTACGTTCGCTATATTTCACTTTATACCTTTTCTCAGCTTCCACTCCCCAAACATTTTCAACACATTCATTAAGCTTATCTAATGATTCAGTTGTTTCCAACAAATGTGCTACATTTCAAGAAAATAACATAACTAAATCCACAAGAGGGAAAGGCAAACAAACATCTGTCCCTTATACTTTAATTGTTCAGAATGACGTAACGGGTGACAATAAGACTAAATATTAT